AAACTACAACTATTTTCTACTTTATGCCTCAATTTTAATTCTCTTCAAAGAAACATGTGGTTTTAATTAAGAATTTCATATACTCTTTTTTTTAAATGTTTTTCTTGTTATCAATCCATACTGGATACGCTACAAATGACCTTGGTCATTTCAATAAATGCACATATTCTGCTTTATTACCATGAGTTTTAGGAAACTGATACTTGAATTTCATGATACTTAATGGTCAATTTCTAGAAGCCACTGAAAGTCCTGTTGTCTACACTTATGTCTTGGAATATTATAATCCAGTCCCCTTCCTACCTCAACCTTGTTCCACAAAACTGGGCTACCACTGACTGTTTAAGATTAATGATAATAGTTCACCCTGCAATTCCAAGGTGCTTATGTTTAAAAATGGGCTGTTATTTAAATACATTATGCCTTTTATGATACTAGTAAGTATCATATTTTACTTGTGAGGAAAATTGAGGGCCTGATAGGTTCCACCGCTTGCCCAAGGTCAACAGCTAGCAAGGGGCATAGCCTGGGCTCTATCCCAGATTTACCTACCTCAAAGCCAATACTTCCACTTGACCAATTATCCTTAAAAGATTAAGAGGCAAGCTCAATAGCAGAGATTTTTGTCTCTCCGAACGTTCACATATCTATTCCGAGACATCTGTCACCACACAGTACCTAGCAATTCACTCACTGATTGAAATATAAATGAAGAGGATCTTTCTGCTTCATTTAAACTAGGGCAGGTTTACTGGCAGGTAAGAAAGGTTGGAAAAGGCTTGCTTCAACATGTCTTGACTGAACCTCTATATCTATACGGTTCCCCAGTCTATTACACACATACATCTACCATTCAAGGCTACTCCTGACTAGCCTATAGTTTGGAGCTTTTCAGAATTGCACTTTTCTAAGATAATTTATACTAGATTTAATAGCGGGCTGAAAAACTTGGTTGAATATACTATTCCGGCACTTTCCAAACAACTGAAGAATTATTTAGGGACAACAAACCCTCTTTCTTTTACGCTGTGATGCCTGTCCACTTGGGGGGCACTGCTCCTATAGGACGCCGGGGTGTGGGAGCAGTAAAGGAAGTGGGGAAGCGCACGGAAGTTGAGTGGAGTGAGGTCTCCTTACCCACTCTTCTGCCCTAGCTCCGCCAAGGGCGGCTCCCCGCGGTGCCCAACGACTCGGAACCCCGCGACCCTCGAAGCTCAGCTCTGTCCCAGCGGGTTGGGCAAGGGAGGCGAGCAATGAAAACATGGGCTTGCCCCCAGTCACCTGGGCGAGATTCATGCCCTCCTTTTGGCTCTGGAGGATGCTCCCCCTTTCAGAGCAAGCTCTCCAGGGGGCAAACTCCCCGTCCTCACGGGCCAAAGTCTTCTACTCCAAAGGGGCGACTCCACCGCCTGCCTCGACCGTGCCACCCGGAACTCTCCGCCTGGGGTGTCCCCTAGCCCCTCCATTCTGCCACCGCAACCCTTCACAGACACACACGCCGGCCTGCGCCTCGCCCGGGATCCCGGCGTCCCCCCACCCCGACCCGGGGAAGAGCCCCCCAACCAGCCTCCATAGACAACACACTCCCTCAGAGCCCAGCTTCCCGGGCCCCGTCGAAGCCGGAGCGGGTACCTGATCCGGCCGTGCTCCCAGGCTCAGGTGCGGCGGGCGCGGTCCCCTCTTGGAAGCGCCAAGTGCTAGCTACTCGCCCGCAGCGGCGGCTTCTCTCTTTCCCAGGAGCGGGAGGGAGGAGAGACGCGGGAAGGGAGGGGGGAAATAAAGGAGCGGAGGGGCAGCGGGAGCCGAACCGGAACCGTTAGTGCTGGCCCCGCCCACAGACCCCCTCCCGCAGAGCACCAGCTACAACAGACCTTGGGCTGGCAGGGAGAAATAGACACAACCATTTCCGGGTCATCCCCGCAGCTGCCCCTCCTTAGCAACCGCGTGGGGTTGCTAAGCGGAAGTGCCTTCAACGACTCCCACCCCCGTAGCTACAGGGACTAGCAGAAGGTAACGCGGCTCGTTGTGCTCCGCTTAGGCGACACCCCCTTGCCTTCCTCTCATGGTCTTAGACCGAGCACACGCTTCGCTGCCACAGTCCCGAAGCCCATCCCGCTTTTCCCTTCACCTGTACCTTCTCCCCAACCCCCATATACACTGCTCCCTCCTGCCTGCGTCCACGGCAGACCGAGTGGCTCCTCCTGAGGCTCTTTCCAGTCCCTCGCGTGAGTTATTTTCTGGCCATTTAGCAAGGATCTCCCTCTTGTGGATTTTCAGTTGTGTTTCAACCAGACTTTTTAAATCTTAGTCAATATTGTGAAAGCTTTTTTCTCATGCATTCCGTTCTCTTGTGACAGTCCCTGAAGCCGCATGGTGAGAAAAGTTTTATTATCTTTTTTGTGAAGATTATACATGCTTATGATCTAAAAATTGCTTAGTTAAATGGAAGAGGCAAAAAGGCTAAAGTGATTTTAATCCTTAAAAGAGAAAGCAATGAGAAGAGGCTGAAGGAGGCCCAGGAGGCCGGTAATCAAGGCTGGGAAGTGGGAAGACATCTAATCGTCAACGCAGAATAAACTTTCATACCTACACTGTGGACAGGTGTCAGTAAGAGACCTTGTCTATTCTTGTGTTGGGGTGATTCTGGATTTGAAAATATTGGGGAAACTATTTGTTGGAGTAAAAGACAGCAATATAATTAAACCTCTCTTTAGAAATATGAACCATATTATTATGGTAGTTGAATATTCAGAGAAATGTAGCTGGACATTCAGGGAAAAATGAGTAAAAATCTGTTTGCCTTTCCTATCTTGGAATGTTTTTCTTAGGTGCCCTCCAGTCGATTTCATTTCATAGTGATCCTATGTGACAGAGTAGAACTGCCCCATAGAGTTTTCTTGGCTTTGATCCTTAAGGGAGCAGATTGCCAGGTCTTTCTCCTGCTAACCTTTCAGTTAGCAGCCAAGTGCTTACTTGTTACACCACCAGGGCTCCTATATCTTGGAATAGGTCTGCTTGCTTAAAAGTAGTAAAACTTAAGAGTAGCTCCTGAATTTTTGTATTCCATGGCAGTGAATGTACTTGGAACAGCAGGCTCTAATTTTATTGGTCATGATAACCTCTTAGTCACTGATATTGGGCTGTTGTCCACCTCAGCTGGGCAGAGGGGAAATGACCTTTGGTAACTTAAAAAAAACAGCAGGTCTGTTGGTTTCCTATATGCGTGAGACAGCAGTAAATTGGTTCACTGTATGCAAAAATCAGTTCAGAAAAAAAAAAAACCAGTTCCCATGGAGTTGATCTAACTCATGCACTTCAGACTTAAGTGTGTCAATAGGATGGTGTTTAATACTCAAAAACATTTCCACCCCTGCAGTCAACATGCATACATGTGGGAGTATGCACACACACACACAATTCAAATAGAATCTGAGCGCATCCAGCAATTGTTCTTTAATCAAAGTGACAAGTGATAAACCTACTACCATGACCAAATAGAGCTTGGATAAATATTTTTAAAAAATTTTAAATTAGAAAAGTAAATAAAATTATGAGCCCAATAAGCAACAACATACCTAAAACTGTGTTGGACTTAGATGGCTCTAAAAAAGTTAAAACGTGATTATGGTAAATACATGTGTTCTACAAAAATATTTGAGTAAAATTAAAAGTTAAGATTAAACACGATAGTTTAAGTCAATGTAGAAATGCAAATTCCTATGCATCAGTAATTTTTCTCACTGACTGAAGAAAAATAATTTCTAAGCAGCATTTGTTTAGATTCTCTCTTCCTTCAGCTTAAAAAAAAAAAGTCATTTTTGTGTAGGTGTATGAATAACTAGCTTGATTCCTAAACATCAGAAGACCTATGTAAATTCTATCATTTTCAACATATTCACTGCTTGAAGACCTCTAAAGATAGATAGCACAACCCTCACCTAACATTAAGTATTTGGGTTTAACTACACTTTTAGGATTTTGTGAGCAGTACTAGAAGAACAAGGAGGCCAAGCTCTTAACCACAGTGCCACCAGGGCTCCTTTTTGTTACTAGAGGAACCCAAATTCTTAATATGAACCATAAGTAAGAGAGTGCTCTCAGATCTAGGCTAGATGTCAAATAGTCTTCATAAGTCTATATGGTACCTTTATCCTGTAGATCAATATGGGATATCCAGCCTTTTTCCCCAATCTCTTGAAAGCTACTTTTTTTTTTTTTGCTTCGTTTTTTAAATTGCCCCCTTGTAATCACTTAAGGAAAAATTAGCACATTTAATTTTATATTTTTGGGAAATCCAACACTGTCACTTAATAATATTTAAATATTCCTAGAGTTCCATTGGCATCTCCAAATAGAAGACACCAAAACTAGAGTCCAACAGTTAATGAAGAAATTTAGTCAAATTTACGTTTATGTGCTTAAGCATTATGCACAAAAGGCATGGCCCCTTTACACAAGGGGCACAGAGAGACTCACTTAGGATACCGTGGAGTCTGAAAACCATGTGATATAAACAACACAATGTTTAGCCTTTGGAAGAAAAGGATAAAGATGTAAGAGCTATCTTTAAATATTTGAAGGTTATCAAGTAGAAGAAACCTTCTTATTCTATGTTATTTCAAGGATAGAACCAAGAATAGGAGGGAGTTAAAAGATATATAAAATTTTAACTCATAACATTTTTCACAATTAGAGTTGCCAAATAATAAAAGAGGCCACCTAATAAATAGCTGTAACTGGCTTGGGTTGAACAAGACAATTTCTAACATTCCTCCCAGTTTTGATTCAATGAGTATCTCTCCTACTTCCTCTATGCGATATTCAAAGGTAAAGGAACCATTTATAACAGTGTTGGTTAGACCCAGGCCTAACAGTGAGTTAACAGTGAGTCAACAGTGAGTTAACCCGAAGAATTCTAAGTACATTGAAATTTGTAAGGGGCATATATTTGGGAAAGGTTCAGTTAATTTCGGCTTTATTTTCTACTTAAAAGTAAAAAAAAAAAAAAAAAAAAAAACTGAGCATTTATCTTTTAAATAACTCTTTGAGCACTTTTTTCTCTACATCTGCTCTTCTTTTGTGAAACTACCTAAACATAAAATACATGATTCTTACAATATTGTAGCATTCAGAAATTCTGGAGAAGTAGTTTTAATCATTGTTTGGTTAGGAATTTAACACTAGCATTAATAATTTCAGTAATCTATTCAGAGAGGGAAGCCAGATCAACTTTATGAAGGTTACAAAATTACAAACTTGGCTTGTCTTTTAAATGGATAAACTTCCATTTTTTAATCCAGTTTCAATGGAACCAGGGTGTCTATACTGTTCTTCCCTTATATTTAGAAGAAGCTAAGTTGCCATGCCACACTTTAAGAAAGCTTTGAAAAGGAAACACATTACACAGGACCCCTGCCTAGTAAAAGTGACACACCATCAGATATTGCATACGTGACTAAGTTATTTAAATTATTTTCTAAAAACAATTATATATCAAAGTTAGACCTCATTGGGCACACCACCTTAAAGTCTCTGTCTCTACAGCTGAAAAACAGCAAATTAAGTTTCAGATAGACCCATCAAAACTTGACTTTAATAGACTTGGTTTGAGCTACTCCTTAATAAGAAGCCTAAGAATCAAGGAAATACTTAGGATAAAAACTCTCTCCTCCCAATTTGGTAGCATTCTGTTTAGTATACATCTCTAAAAAACAAAGCAAAAAAGAAAATCTACAATCATCAGAACTCAGTTTGGAAATTGATAAAATCAGACCAATGCAGATTTGTATTTGGAAGGAATAAAATAGAAATACACAGGAGGACATAATCATAGGAAGCATACAAATGGATAGTGTGTTACGAAAATAAGTATTATTGCAAGCAGATTTCAGGAAAAAAATGCCCATTAAAACATGGTTAATTTTTACGACAGGATGTTAGTGAGAAAAAAGTCTGACGAAGAATCAAGAATATTAGTTACCAAGTAATATTATAACCACCTCTTCAATTATACCCCTGCTTATCTTGAAAAATATAATGGTACCTGTGAGGACTTTGGACATACCTCTGGGTTTATGGCATAATTTGTCTTTCATGTTTTATTGATTCATTTCCAGTTTAAAAAATTCAGGCCAAAAGGGTAATATTTTATGCTGTTAAACCAAATGCATATCCTAGGAAAATTCCTCTCTTAATGTAGTCTATAGAATCTTCCTTCCTAATTCTGTGCAAGTTTTCTACCGTTTTTTTGTTGGAAGCTTTGATTATCAACCATTTAAACCCTCAGGACCAAAATACCCTTAAATTTTTCTAAATAGAAGATACTCATCCAAATTTTTTTCAACATTGCATCTTTGGCCCCTTTCTGAAAATGGCTATAGTTCAGTTTAATTAATACTGAATTTTTTTAATGTGCAAAAATCTAACTCTGCTTTTTTAAGTAAATGAAAGGAACAAAAATATGGCACTATTCCAATAATCAAATGCCAATAAAAATGGCAGCAGTACAAAGATCTAAACAAATTTCAAATAGAGCAGATTTGTAATCAGAAGAACACCATGCAATGATTTTGTTTTTAGCAAGAACAGGAAGCTTAATAACAGGTAAAAGGAGGAAACCAAATACTACATTATATTGAATACAAAGCTAAGTAGCTATATATTATTCTTACCAACTCTCCAATGTCATAACTACTTGCTTTTAAATTAATTTAAGCCTAATCTTTCAGACAAATGCCTATTCAACAAACCTAATTGGAACAAATATATTTAAGCAAATTTACATCCTAGAATACCAGAGTAAACAGGAGACATTAGTCAAAGGTGAAATAAGTTCTATTCATTTTCGTCATCTGTGTGATCAGGTTGCAAAGGGCGTGTTCTGTGGAAAAAATAGAGAACTTCAATAATCACCCAAGTATCAACTGTTTAAACAACAAAACAAAAATAGTTACAAATCTACATAAATAGGAACATTAACGTATAGTGAGCCTGGTCAAGTGACTGGAAATGAGAGAAAATTAAACTCCATTAATTGACAGACCTACAAATTTTAAGTACTAGTGCAACAAAATTTTTAACAATTTATTTTGCCTGTTAATTAGCAGAATCAATGTTTCTCCTTTAGGGTATGTTACCATTTTTATTAAAAGGGAATTTTTATTTCTATAGCACCTTTCAACATGTTGCTAAGTGTACTGATAAACAGTATAATCTTTCAGCAAGAACTCTGTGATAAAAGCAAAAAAAATTAACCAATGCACTTGAGCAGAGAAAACATATGGACAAGTTGTCATATTTGACTATATACCCTTCTGAACAATATGAATATATTACCTAATTAGAAAAACCCAAAAATTGTTTAAATTGTCATATGGCAGTCATAGATTGGAAAGTTTACATTGTTTCAAAGCCATTTTGTACTCAATATACCTTTTCTAGAGAAAAATTCAATTAAAACATAATCATAAATCAGATTTATTTTTTAGAGTTGGAGAAGTCCTGTGAGCAGTACTCTAACATCCTTAGTTTTCTCAAATTAGATCTAGTGAGCCAGAGTGGTCATAGAGCTAGGTAGTGAAAGAAGGAAGCTAAAACGCAGGTATTTGGACTTGGTAAAAGATTAACGTTGATTTACCTACTATTAGATTACAGAGAGCTCTTCATTGCATTTTCCTGGAAAATATGTCAAGTTAACAAACACACACTTTCATGACCCAAACTTCCTTTTTGAAAAGGCTTGATTTATTTTAGGCATCATAGTTCATTAAGGTAGATAGTCTTTCTCAATTCTGATTATCGCTATACAACTGATGAAAGTTTACCCTGCCTTTGGGAGAACAATAAAGCCACAGGAGTAAGCCTATTTCACAATATGAATCAAGGAGTTTATAGCAGAAGTCCTTCAATAAACTCATTCAGTATTTCAACAAAGGAGTAATTACAATTTTCCTAAACAAAGCAAATCTAAACAAAGCACCTAAAGGAATAATGTAAAACTCTGTTACCTAATTTTAGAAGAATATTATTATGTCACAGATTTTATTATACCATGGATTAAAGGTCTTTAGAAAATCTCTATCCATATGATGGAAAGCCTGTAATATAAGTTTGATTCCTATGATGATCAGTGTTATAATCACATTTGACTGTATTGACAAATATTTTACTTCCTTAATGGAAGTCACAAATAATTCTGAGGATTGAAATATAGTGTAGAGCTAATATTAGCTTATTAGAGCTATTACCAGAGCTATTAGCTTATTCACATTAGAATGAGAAACAAGGAAGAATGTTGCGCCAGACAATGAGAGGAAACTAGAAGCGACTAACAGGGCCATAAAAGCAAGTCTTTTAAAATAGCTCTATCTAAAAAAGGTATCCCCTTTGGTTAAAAATCAGCATTTTTACTGAAACCACAAATCACAATAGTGATGTAGCAACAAGGCCTAAGATTTAGTTACTGCTCCAGAGCTGAACATCCCTTTCAAATATCTTACAAGATGGACAGTAGGAACTCAGAAACCATTTACTAATGACCTTATGAACAGTACTGACTGACTTTTAATTAAAATTTTATATGCATAAACATCATTTCATTTATGCCAAATACTTTAATTGCTCTTACAGCCATTTCTTTGTAGTTTATGTTCAATGCAAATCAATTCCATAACATAAGTTACACAAATACAAGGTACAATCCAAAACAGATGTACCATGTTCAGGTATGATACAAAGGAGGTATTCATTCATATTCCATAGGTTGAGATCTATTGGATTTGGTTGTACCTGTGCAGGTTTCTCAAGATGGCAAATACTGGCTTTGGTTATTAAAACTACTATGGCCATATGGGATACTGGAACATCTACCATATGGGATACTGGAACATCTATACATCGGTGTGTGACCATGTGAACCAAAGATTTCATGAGAGTATCTATTTATACAAAGGTGTCTGTACATCAAGGCAGTTGTAAAGGATTTTCTTTCCAGACTCAAGTCTTTAGACCTAGAACCAGGTTCTAACTATTACAAAATATTCACTGATATACAATTGGTCCCAACCCACCTGGAGCAAAGGAGAATGAAGAACACCAAAGACACAAGGAAAATATTAGCCCAAGAGACAGAAAGGGCCACATAAACCAGAGACTCCATCAGCCTGAGACCAGAAGAACTAGATGGTGCCTGGCTACCACAATGACCACCCTGACAGGTAACACAACAGAGAGTCCCTGGCAGAGCAGGAGAAAAGTGGGGTACAAAACTCAAATTCTAGTAAAAAGACCAGACTTAATGGTTTGACTGAGACTGGAGGGACCTCGGAAGATATGGCCCCTGGACTCTCTGTTGGCCCAGAGCTGAAACCATTCCCGAGGCCAACTCTTCAGACAAAGATTACACTGAACTATGGGACATAAAGTGATACTCGTGAGGAGTGTGCTTCTTAGCTCAAGTAGATACGTGAGACTAAATGGCAACTCCTGTCCAGAGGTGAGATGAGAAGGCAGAGAGGGTCAGGAGCTGGTTGAATGGACGTGGGAAATCCGGGATGGAAAGGAGGAGTGTGCTATCACAGTATAGGGAGAGCAACTAGGGTCACATAGTAATGTGTGTATAAATTTTTGTATGAGAAACTAACTTGAATTGTAAACTTTCATTTAAAGCACAATAAAAAAAATAATTTAAAAAATTGGCTGATATAAAAAGTATTCCAAATGTGGCTATTCTGATCCATAAAGTTAAACACACACACACACACACACACACACACACACACACACACACACAGACACACACAGTATTTACAGAAAGAGCACAAAAAAGTGTTTTTGAATTTAATGCAGGCGAGCGTCCAGTCTTCACTTTTGAAATACATGATTTACATTATTTTTGGCTCCTTCATGTTAGCCTCTTAATTTCAAGATTTGTCAAATATGCCTTCAAAACAGATAAGTTTTTAAATTGCAAAAATTATTCAGAATACTCAGAAATGAAAAGCATTTTAAAGTTGGTTGAATTCAGTGTACTTCTAATCTTTGGAATCAAGTTTAGTAGCTAAATGAATCTGGCATTCTTGTTGAGTGAGAAAGATGATGAGAAATTCCTGCCATTTGACTTCAAAGTATGTATGCAAGAATTACTCACTCTGGTTGGATTTGGAGTAGATTCCAATCTATCATTGCCCTGGCACATGTCAAATATTACGTAGAAAGTCAAATGCAATGTCAAATCCAAGGCCCCAAAATTAAATTCCCAAGACAACAATGAGAGCTTAGCAATGTAAAACTTTATCTAGAGTATGTCAGCATTAAATTAGTACTGCTGAAACAATACACCAAAGATTTACTGAAACACTTGGAGGTTCCTTCCAATGTACATATAAATAGAATCATGAAAGCTTTTTATATTACCTAATAGTTTTAATGAACCAAAGTGAAAACTGAATCTCTATTCCACAGCCCATCTTTTTTCTCTAGATCAAGGTGAAATCTAAAATGTCCATATTCCTTAAGTTACATTTAATGAAATCATGTGTTTAACTTCCCATGTTGTGTCCCTCTCTCTTCAATCTTGTACATGAAACTCTAGCAACTATAATATTGGCATTCTTCAGTTAGTCAAATCCTTCAGATAGTCCTCAAACCTGTCAAATTTGGAATTCTCAACATGTTCTGTGTCAATAAAATAAGGTGTTGAATTAGTAGATTTGATGAAGATCTGTTTTCTTTGCCGCAGTGAACTTCTAGATGCCGTTCGGACTGGATTTTAGAAGATAGGTGGGAGAATTATAGATGTTTCTGGGCCTGTGTCTCTTAATAGTAGAGAGGGAGAAGAGGGAGAGGGAGACCACAAGGCTGCTGGCTGTAGACTGCAGAGCACTAGCACTTCCCTTGGTGGTGGCAGCCACAGCACCTCCTGCCGTAGTCTGTAAATAAACCTGCCTGGGTAGGAGCAGCGCCAGAAGCAGCAGTCCCAGCCCAAGCCCAGCCACCATCCCCTTGCCTATGTCTGCCTGGTCATTGCACAGCTCCTCTGGCTGGCTACTCTGTGCATTGGAGGATTGCTGGGTCCTGGTGGGCTCAGGCGAGGTGGTAAGCTTTGCCTACCGGCAGGGCCTCTTATACCAAGGGCATCACCAGGGCCCTGACTTGGTGCTGCCCATTCTCCATACCCGCCAATCCTCTTCTCCCCTACCCCGGCCAGGCACTTTGTTTTTGAAACAAAACATTTAAAAGTTGTTTAGAGAGCCTGGACACCATCACTTACAAATCTAATTATAAAAAAAAGGTTTCCATTGTCTTTTTTCCAAGTGGCATTTTTTTCCCTTGATTCTTAAAAGTGATGCATGTTTGCTGTTGACAGTTGGTGAGTATGAGAGTAATTTTTACCCAGAGATAATCACTATTGATATTTGCTATGTTTTTACACAGTACATACGCATGTTTTTTACACAATAGATTGTACTTTTGTATCCAAAATTTTTGCTTAACATTTATCATGAGCATTTTCCTGTCATTAAAACTTAAAAACTCATGATTTGATTACTTTCTTAAAAAGGCTGCACACCAAACTCTGTGTGCATAGATTTATCCCCACCTTGTTTTGTTTTTAAGTATTCTTATGTATTATAGAAACGTTGGAAAGAAAATATACCTTGGTGTGAGTCTTGGTTGTTTCTAGGTGATGGGATTTCTGTATTTTCCAGCATTTCTACATTGGTTATATATTCTTGTGGAAGCTGAACTAGTAGTTTCTGGAGAGGCAGGGTTGATGGAATTCAAGCTAGAATAAACCAAAGTGAAAATACCAAAAACCAAACCCATTGCCGCTGAGTCAATTCCGACTCATAGCAACCCTATAGTACAGAGTAGAACTGCCCCATAGTGTTTCCAAGGAGTGGCTGGTGGATTCCAACTGCTGACCTTTTGGTTAGCACCCAAGCTCTTAACCACTGTGCTACCAGGGCTCTCAGTGAAAACAGCTTAAAAAAGAAAAAAAAAAAAAAAACTATAGAAAGTAGATAGTGAAAATTAAAGAAGACAAGAAGTTCATGGTTAATAATGTAGCACTGATCATTTGAATGGGAACTGTTCCTCCAGTGAATGGGTAAAAATATCTTTCAATGATGTTTGAAATTTGGGAAGTGACTTATTATAAAAGATTTAATACAAGTTTTTAAAACCTTTGGTTTGTATTATCAGCTTAAAGAGAAACTTCAAAGTTATTCAATATTCCATTTGTCCTTTATTTTCCAGAATGTAACTATTTTCTTAATATTCCAGAAAATAAAAACTTACTTTCTCTTTGCTTTTCCTAAGCCACTACTTCCTGCTTCTTCAGGAATCCGATTCTCTTTTTCTGAATCTTTAGAGGACAGACTGAAGAATTCTCCTATTCCTTTTTGCCATTTGGGAATTGGGCGAACACAAACTGGATTCCCTCCTGCATACTTATTTTCAGCTGTAAAACATAAACAAATGTAACTAAATAACAGCTAAGAACACAATTGCCATTCCTTAAAGGGAAATTTAATTCCTTTAATACCAAATTCTCAAGGGCATTGTGAAATGGTATTACATCCATCTTAAAATAAAAAAAGATTAGAAAATGTAACATGACAAAGCTGTATTCAGAGTGAAATACCAGAAGGCACAGTACTGACAGTTTTTACAACTGGAAAGTATTTTTCATATTTTGTCCACAAGCAGCTATTCAAATACTCTTACTCTCATACTAAAGTTTTATAGACTTTTTCCTGATATAAAGGTGGCACCATGTAGCATACTGTCAAATTTTTACTTAATAAGGTCATTTAGTTTAAGCACATAGAAGACGCCAAACAAGTACACAGCAATGTGAAAGTTTCCACAAATATCGGTTCCATTTTTCAAAGCACTAGGCTCCTTTCTTTCCAGCTCATAAAGTAAATCCAATTCCTGACTATCTTTCAATGCTGATGTAAACAAAAACTTGAGGAGAAATACCTGCCCCTTTATAAAAATAATGAACAGGAGACCAATAGGAACAAATTATTGAGTTACTACACGTATCTATTGCTTCAAACACATTTGTCTCAAACTCTAGCTGTTACAGAAAGCTTACAAAAGTTGTTTCCACATAGACTGTATGAGGTTATATTGCATGTACTTTTTCAAAATGTACAAATGGCCTTTAAAAAAAATAGTGATCCTTTGGTTCATAGTTTTCCTGCAGGAAACTCATGGAAATGCTTTCACCACTGGAAAGTGTATAGCAGCAACAGATAGTTCAGTACAGGATTCAAACCCAGCTCTGCTGATTTAGTTGCATGGCCTTTACCAAGTTACGTAAGCCAGGCTGAAATTTCCTCATCTTTAAAATGAAGATATTGACAATTCCATAGTTGTTCATTGGAATTAAAAATAGAGATCTGTAAAATGCCTAGAAGGGTGCCTGATACATATGTTGCCCAATACATATTCATTAAGGCCTATTCAGTTGGTTCTGGTGATTCAGCAGTGCACCAGACAATGGAATGTGGCCCTAATGGAATTTAATCAAGTGGTTTGTTGTTGTTGGTTGCCCTTGAGTCCATTCTGACTCATGGCAACCCATATGTGCAGAGCAGAACTGCTCCATAGGGTTTTCAAGGTTGTGACCTTTCAGAAGCAGATCGCCAGGCCTGTCTTCCAAGGTGAATTCTGGGTGGGTTCAAACTGCCAACATTTGGGCTAGTAGTTAAGCGCTTAACCATTTGTGCCACACAGGGTGTAAGATATTCTCAATAAGTTAATCTTCTTTCAAAAATTTTGACAACTATTCCCTTTTATCTGAAGAGACTGAAATAGTAAATATTTTCTAATGAAATGTTTAAAATAAGGTGAAATATGACTTAACTTAAAAATCCATTAAGTCCTAACCAGGGCTTCAAACCGGTTCTTTCTGGTTCGACTGCCTGCTTAGAATTTGCATTTCCACCCCAGATACACTGAATCAAAATCTACATTTTAACAAGATGGGGGATCTGATTCAGTATATCTAGGGTGGAAATGCAAATTCTGAGCAGGCAGTTGAACCAGAAAGAACCAGTTCGAAGCCCTGGTCCTAACGTAGCCCTGTATGTTCCTAACTAGACCAGTGGACTTAATCTCCCTGCCTGCTCAACTTCTTCCTGCAAGGAATGAAGTACCAGATGGCACAGTATTTTCTCCTCCTGTCCACATGTAGGAGGAGCAGTGTGAAGCTGTTTCCCTTGCCTGGTTCCCCCTCCTACTCTCCCCAAGGCAGACCAGAAGCTGTAAAGTTGGAAAACACATATATACACCATACTTGAAAAAAAGAAAGAAAGAAAGGAGGAAAGGAAAGAGAGAGGAAGGAAGAAGAGAGTAAAAGGAGAAAAAAGTGCAGAAACAACAGAAAAACGGTTACACTGGAAGACAGTGTGATTAGTACTGTCAGTCATGGTGCAAATTCTTAGGGGGCGCTTAAATAGTCTCTGACAAGAAAAAAACCATCTGTCGATATTAAGAAAAATAAAAAACGCTAAACCGAAAAAGAAAAAATGTTTGAAGTTCAACTGTGTCCGTCCCTAAACTCAAGGCTTGAAATTCTCTTTCATGCGACCCCCACCTCTACCCCAGCCCGCCAAACGGCTAAGGCTCCCTCATTATATCAAAGAGCAAGGAAGAAATTCGGGCGTGAGGATCTCGCGGCAAATAAATTCCAACAAGATGGGTCGGGGGGCTTGCGGGTCAGAAGGACTGTGGTGCCAGTCTTGATTCCCTTTTGGGAGGGTTCCTCTTAATCCAGGAGCTCGCAGGGGCGCGTTTTACCTTTCCGTGACGACGGCGACGTGGAGTTAGTGGCAGAGGTGGAGGAGCCAAGCACCTTCCTGGGGGCTCGAGAAGCCACCACTGCGAAGAGAGGCAAAGGCGGGCGTCAAGAAGAGGACAGGGAGGTTCGGACAGCGAGCCTCGGAACCACGTTCTCACCAGTCCCCATCCCAGAGGCTTGCAAAGGGGAGCAGCTGAATAACCACCCTCAGCAGCGCCCCCTCGCCCCGCAGGGCTATGGGGCCAGGCCGCGGCTTCTTGGGCAGCTGGATGAGTTTGGAGCCCAAGGGAGCCCCGGCCTCCCGCCCGCGCCCGGCTGCTCGGGGTACCCTCAGCCCTCCACTACCGCGCTCGGCTGCCTTACCTTTTCGGTAGGTGCCTGGGGCCCTGTCTGCCTTAGTCCGCACCATATTGAAACCGGAAGAGATAAGATATAAAAGTTACGAACTGGCCCCCAGCCGAGGATGTTGAACGGGACAAGGATCCGAAAACGAATCTCCCGCCACAGTTTATATGGGTCTCCTTCCCGCGCTCTCCACCGGCTCTCCAGAGCTGCCGCCCCCATTGGTTCCACGCCGTGCTCCCCGAACCAATCGCGAGGGTGCGGCGATGACAGCTCAGGACTCCTCGCCGCGCCAGTCTGCCCATCAACTCCCAGAGGCTTGTGATTCGCAGCCACCCACGATGGGCGGTACCGGGATGCTTTCCAGGGTGCCCAACCTGTGGGTGTTAAGAGTTCAGAACCAGGGAAATGAGCCTGCTTAGAAAAGAAAACCTAGCAGACAAAGACAGCGAATTCCAACATTTCTTTAAAAGTTACTACAGAGTTCAATGCATAATGATTGATTCCTGGAAGTGAAACCTGAAATTAAGAGAGCTTTTTTATGCAAATCAAAGACAACTTTTTTTTAATACCCCAGGCATGAGCTCTCTCTATAGCATCCATACTAAAACAATCCTATCTAGTGAGAGAAAAGAAAGCTAATACAATTTATTTATAGGGCTTTTCTATGTTTTGAGGATGGTGAGAGACTAAAGGAAAAACTAGATGAATTGTATATACATACACATAAAAAGAACCAAACGAATAAAACGTTTTCTCCAAAGCTGTATGGTCTTAGAGCTCTTTAAAATCTGCCCAAATATACTAAGGGTATGGACCTACACCCCTGACACACAGTGAACACACCTCTAGAAAAGGAGCTGCTAACTATTTTCTATCCCTGCGTCTGTTTTCTAATTACTCACAACACCCCTGGGGAGTAATTTTCACTTTCTGAATAGCATCCATTTATAACCTCCATCCCAGTGCTTTAGGGATGTATTCCGTTAAATGCTCACTTGAAAGGCAACCCTGAAAGTGTAAGTACCGCATTGATTCTCTCCCATAAAATAGGCTACTCGGTACTTTAACTGGAATCAACAACTACTTTATGTTACAAAAGCAAAGATCTAGGCTACAGGTCAAATTAACATTATAATAGTAAGGAAAGTATTGGAAATTACCTGCAGTTTTCTCTAAACCCTGGAGTCTAAGATTACAGCCATACTCCTACCAGAAAAATCAACAAGCCCCGGGGTATTCCTTTGTTCTTGGTCTTCATGCCCCCAATCTCCATCCACAAGGGTTCTTCTTCAAAGTGCACGATTTCCTTTTCAGTTAAAGTAGTTGCAGTGCAGTGGTTAAGAGCCTAGCTACTAACCAAAAGGTTGTCAGTTCAAATCTGCCAGGCGCTCCTTGGAAACCCTATGGGGCAGTTCTACTCTGTCCTAAAGGGTCGCTATGAGTCGGAATTGGCTCAATGGCAACGGGTTTGGTTTGGTTTTGTGCATTGGTCTGAATTACTTAACTCGAACTCACATCCCAGATCTTAGCAAAGACTGGAACTTCAGAGAGAATCTATTAGTCTTTTCTCCTAGTCCACTTGCCATGTAAACTGCTGGAAAGAATTGCAAATATATCTTTGCACACATGGGGCAGTCCACATCTTATTATAGCTGTGTTATTTGTTTTTGCTTGTAGTTTTGTCTTTTTAATACAGCTGATGACAGTGAAGGATGCATGTTAGAGAAAAAAAGTTAGGAAAAAAGCAGTGATGCCTAGTAACAGCCTATAAATATTTGCTTTGCAAAAGTGCTTCTCCTTTACACTTAAATAAAACACAAGGAGCTGTGTGGTGTGAACTTGAAAATTTTGAAGGCCTGGGCATTAAAGAAAAGTTGTAGTATTTATAAATAAAGTTTCTGCCTAGTTTTATATCAAAGGATATTTTTAAGTCTTGTTAAATGAGTGTGCTTGCATTGTTCAGGCAGAAATATGTTTTAAAAAATAATAATTGTAAATGGCAGTCTAACTAGAGATCACAACTATTAACAATGTTTATATTATTCTTAAGGACCTAGTCATTTCATTATTTGGTGTGCTAAATCTTGGGGTACAAAAAAGACTTAAGGCACAGCCTCTGTCTTCAAGAAGTTAACAGTTTAGTTATGGAGAATGAACAGATACAGAACTAAATAAACAATTTGGATACATTAATTAGTATTAAATGTAGCAGATTTTTATGAAGAAGTAAAAACTTGCACCCATTATTAACATTCAGAGTATTTTGTTTAAAAAATCATTCATTTTTAAAAATTATTTGCAACAAAACAATCTACATTCAGTTTAGATCTATATACTTATATGATTTTGATTATTTACGCCAATGAAAACATTAGCATAAAAAGAGGAAAGAATATTCTATTTAATGTAATTACTTAATCTAAATAGTCTAATGGGGCTGAAGAATTTTTAACCTATGAAGGTAAATACATTATGCTCTACAGAAAAGTCTGGCTCAATTTTTCCCATCACGTTGTCCCAGCGGGGTAGGGCGTTGCAGAAGACTCTTAAATCTGGTCACCTTAAACGTGTTAAAAGTCACCACAGAGGACTCATGTGAAAGGTCTTCGGAATTAAACCCCCGCACCTGTTTTATCAAAGTTTTTCCCCCCTTGAGCTTGCGGAATTGTCATGGCCCTCCTGGAAAAAATCTGGCTCAAAAATTTAAATAGGAAGAGTTTTCAGGAGTGCGAACCTAGTATTAGACTACAGGAGGGTATTAGTAAAAACGACAACTAGAGAAAATAGAGCGCTTACTTTTGCCAAGTGCGGTTTTAAACATTTCACATAAAACCAGGTCCTCGGGTATTTTTCCCCCTAAACTGTAAGGGGAAACTTTTTACATATATTTGCTCTTTCTCCTCTGCAGACTTCTCGGTGGTCTTCCTTGAGTCTTACGTGTGACGATGTGGAAGAATCACGCGCGGACTGAGCTCGGAGACAAGTGAAAACAAGCAAGGAAGAAGGAAGAGGGGGCCCAGGTGGCAAGATCGGTGTTAGCGGCGGCGCAACAACGGGGGGCGGCCCTGACCGGGGGAACCCGCGCGAGCGAGGTCGTGTTGCATAGGGGACTAGTCTGGCGCAGGACGCCGGGCTTTTGCAGCCCAGCTGGTTCCGGTTGGGGAAGATGGCGATGGCTGGGGCGGCATCCCGGGAGCCCCTGCTTAGCTGGTGCACCGAAGAGTTGCGGAAAACTTTCAGCCTGGATGTCAGCGAGGAGATTATGCAGTGAGACCGGTTCGGGCCCGAGGCGGGAAGGAGCTCTGGAATGTGCACTGGCAGAGGGAACGGGGAAACGGGGAGGATTGCAAAGTTGATCAATCTGGAGAAATTGTGATAAAGGGGCTGTTGTCGGTCTCTAGACGCCGAATTGTGGCCTCTAGCTTTATAGTTTAGCTTCGGAAATAGGTTGTCAGGCTCCACAATCTGCCAGTGGTACCCGTTTTCCGAGGAAAATGCCAAATTCCTGGCAATTAGACCCGTAAGACTGTCCCGGGAGCCAGTTTCCTTAGAAATTCTCTGGGGGAAAGGGGTAACCACATAGTCTTTCTAGAAATTCCTTACTCTGGACGTTTTAGTTTGCCCCGTCTGAGCTGTGTTAAATGAGAACTTAAATGGGAGCGGCGTGGTATAGCGCAAATATCGCCTGACTCAGGAGTCCCAGGTTCTGTTTTCTGTTGTAATATACCAGCTTTGGAACCTTGGGTTACTTAATTTTCCTCTCTGTACCTTAGATTCGTCATCTGTAAAATGAATAGCTAGCAAAACTTATCTTTAAGACTTTGGTTCTTATGAAATGAAAATAGTGAACTTGAGTTAATATGTGCTTCAGTTGATTTGTTTAACAGATATTTATTGTTGGCAGATGCTGGGGCAACAAAGACGATCAACACAATTGGGTTCTGCTTCCTTGATGAGTGCTAAGGTGGGGGAGGTGGAGGGTGTTGCGGGAGCGTGGAATAAAGGCCCCTCGCTGAGATCTGGAAAACTCAGAAGGTTTCCTGAGAGGGATGGCTTTTCACCAGAGAACTAAGGGATGGCTAGATGGAGAGCGAACGTCTACAAAGATGGGATTTAAGGAACCAATAGTAGTTCGTTGATGCTGGGACCAAAATCGCAATTCTAAGGCTTTTGTATGAAGTTAGGTGAGTTTTGAGTTTGAGAGAAAATAAACTTGCTGGCAAGGAGAAAATTAAGAGAGCCTTTTTTTTTTTTTCCAGTAAAAAATTAGTTATTTTATTGTGCTTTAAGTGAAAGTTTACAATTCAAGTCAGTCTGTCATACAAAAATTTATACACACATTGTTATGTGACACTAGTTGCTCTCGCTGTACTGTGACAGCACACTCTTCCTCTCCTTCCCGGATTTCCTGTGTCCATTCAGCCAGCTCCTGACCCTCTCTGCCTTCTCATCTCACCTTTGTGCAAGAACTGCCCATTTAGTCTCTTCTATCTACTTGAGCTGCAAAGCACACTCTTCGCAAGTATCATTTTATGTCCCATAGTCCAGTCTAATCTTTGTCTGAAGAGTTGGCGTCGGGAATGGTTTCAGCTCTGGGCCAACAGAGAGTCCAGGGGCCATGTCTTCCGCAGTCCCTCCAGTCTCAGTCAAACCATCAAGTCTGGTCTTTTTACTAGAATTTGAGTTCTGCACCCCACTTCCATCAGGGACTGTCTGTTGTGTTCCCTGTCAGGGTGGTCATTGTGGTATTTGGGCACCATCTAGTTCTTCTGGTCTCAGGCTGATGGAGTCTCTGGTTTATGTGGCCCTTTCTGTCTCTTGGGCTAATACTTCCATTTTGTCCATGGTGTTCTTCATTCTTCTTTACTCCAGGTGGGTTAGGACCAATTAATGCATCTCAGATGGCCGCTCCCTAGCTTTTAAGACCCCAGACACCACTCACCAAAATGGGATGCAGAACATTTTCTTA